CTACTTTTGCAGTGATTCATGTGAAATTTTAAACTTTGTCCTAGAGAAGCGAAATTTGACATGCACATGCACCAACATATGCTGCATCATAATATAACATCAATTCCTGTTCCGTTCGCTATAAATTTTTCAGGAAAAATCAAAAACCAAATGTAATACGGATGATATTTGATTTTTGATTTTTCCTGAAAAATTTATAGCGAACGGAACAGGAATTGATGTTATATTATGATGCAGCATATGTTGGTGCATGTGCTGCACGGTTGGATGCCAAAGAGGAACTCGTATTTATTTATATTGACACATTGTTTCACCATCATCATTGTTGATCATCACAGAGGGACGGAGAGGGAACACATATTCTCTTTTGCTCTCTCTCTCTCTATTATTTTTGTTTTTAAAAATTTGAAGTTTTCTCGACACCCCCAACTCTGTAATTAGTGTCATCATCTCCCTATTAACCCCAACAAGATAGTGGTAGATGAATTTTTTTGCCTCGACCGTGTTTTGACCGTTCTGTGCAACTTTTAAATTCTACAACTACCGGCCTCCCCCCGTTACTGCTGAAGTGGACTGTTCCAGACGGAAAATTCTGCTCACGCCATTTCACTCATACTTCTTCTGAGGGGATTCCCGCTTATATACGGAGCGTCCTCTACGCCCCCAAGTGCTCGGTCGGAGTTTGAGACCGTGCGGTTGTATGCGGGCTGGCCGTTCTGTTGCACTTAAAGTGCCTTCACAAGGCGAGATCCGATCCTTAATTTTTTATTATTAAATATCTGTCGGTTCACCTCTTCCCTAATTATTGTATGGTTTTTTGTCGGGCCCTGTCGCAATATGACAAAATTTATGTCCGTCGATGAAGCCGTAATGCTCGCGCATCCCACAACCAAATCAATACTCCTGACTGGCGGGATGGCTCACAAGGAAAACAGCGAAATTTATGACTTACTTGATTTCGAACATTAGGACGACGACGAAGCGTTTGGTCCTGATTGTCACTTCTGTGGACAAGTGATAGTTGAAATAGCCTTCCCGTTTACATACAAAGGAACCAAATATACCGCCCTTTTTCAAGATGACCTGGCTGGATCTCCTGACGATAGCGGATACTTCAATGTGTATACTGTTTAAATGTTTTCCATAAAAACAAATGCAATATTACATGTTCCGACATAACTTTTTGTAACCTCTTTTTATCTAAAGACTGGGCGTGTCCTAATTGCGTCCCCGATTTCATAAGTAAATTGGATACCGTTTTGATGAACAAACAAGATAATTATAAAAAATTAATGCGTAAATTGGTAAAAATGTTAAATCCTTTAAGAAATCAATTTGACGAAATGTATTATACAATCGAGTGTTTTAAACATAAGTATGATTTTTGCATAAATAATTTTGAGCGATATGGTATGGGTTAAGTAAGTCGTTACCTTACCTGGTGACTTAATATTGATAACGTGGACCTCTCACTCGATTTGGTTTCTATTCCTGTTTGTATTCTAATGATCAATTAACCCAAATTAATCCCAAACTGTTTACTTTAGTGTAAATATATTTATTACATGCTTATTCAGAGAATTAGCGTATAGTGTCATGAATTGTAAACCAGTTAATTTAACTGATATTTATTGACACATGAATAAAGGACAACTAAACTAAACTAAACTAAACCAATTTTTTTACCAATAATTTGCACCTTTTAAAAGGATTCGACGAACATGGGATGTGTAGATTTTCAGCAATTTTGAGAGAATTATATTTATAAGCACAACAAGAAATATTTTTGTACTGTTTATTTATTTATTTAAATATCATTTCTCACCGTGTGTTGGGTAGGATTGCTTAATCTTTACTTAAATATGTATGTAAGTACGTGTTGCTTGAGAGTAAGTCAGCATGTGAACTTCACATTGTGAAGTATGTATTTAACGTGGTTCGTGAAGAGGGTTGCCTTTTTTAACCATAGAAACTAGTGGAAACTTGACAAATTCCTTGTTAAAAATAACTTATACTCGACCCTTGAGTACCATACAAGGTTAAATGAGACACTTAATTGTCCACTCCTTGGGAGAATTGTGACCAAAAGATTGACTCATACTGCTTAGAATTTGTTCATATATAAATTAATAAAAAATAAGTCAATAGCAAGGGCTGGCTTGCATTTCGTTGGGTGCCCAGGCCCACGGTTTTATCCAACGGGTACATTTTTGCAAGTATCGGAGATATTACAATTTCTGCGAATGTTTGCTAGTCCGATTAAATGTTTATAAATGTTTTTTTTAATATTGGACAATTACATAGAGGATTTGCATTAATTAGACTAGGCAAAACGCTGGCATAATTGCATTGTGAGCCAAAGATTTATTAATACACAAATATTTATTATCATTACATTTACTAGATACGCTGACAACGTATTTATTTTACATATTTTTCATATTTAGCACTACAGTTTGCAAAATAATCAAGCTAAATAAGCACATGTCAGGTGGTAGTTAAATACATCTGAAACTAAAATCCAATCCCTTTATACCAGTTTTTTGCAAAATTTAAACAAAAACCTACAAATTTTTGATACGCCTTATTTTAATTTTCCCAAATAAGACCTCAATAATTTCTGATCAAAACGTCAAAATTAAAATCTAATTACTTAATACAAATTTAAAAATGATTTATCTGCTAATAATCGCCCCTACCTATACACACAAGTACATAAGCATCTTTACTTTTCTAAAGTATGAACTTTAAAATGTCTCGCTAATTCTCTAAAAGTGAAAAATTTCTTGCCACAGAAGTAGCATCCATGCCGCGCTGCATTGTGACGTGCTCTGTGTTTGACCAAGTAGTCTTTCGAGTGGCTCTTGTACTCGCATTTGTCGCAGGAATGGATCCGCTCTTTGTTCGTGGCATGTTTCGCTTCCACGTGACGTTTCAAGTGTGTTGATCCAGAGAATCTCTTGTTACAAAATTTACACTCAAAATTCCTCTGATTTTCATGCACCACTCCAGTGTGGCCGTCGCAGGTAAGATTTAGTTAAAAACGTCTGCGGACAGACATTACACTTTGTCCTGTTTCGGGTAGACGTTTCCAAATGCGTCTTCTGTAAAATTAGCATGCATAATTGTACTTTTTTACTTCGTTTTCCCCCCAACATGACTATTTACCTCGTGACTCTTCATGTTTCCCAAGTGGGTGAAACTCCTCCCACACGTGGAGCAAGTGTGCGGCTTCTCCGTCGTGTGGATGGGAATGTGATCCTTAAGTTCAGCCCTCGTTTTAAATTCTTTTTCGCAAAGCGTGCACCGAAATCGGACCGGATTTTTGGCATGTTCTCTACGCACGTGTTGGGAAGCGTGTCGTTTGGTTAGGTAGGATTTCTCACAGCCGGGAAACGGACATGGAAAGCGAGGTCGTTCCACCGTGCTGTGGACGTCGTTAATATGGACGCGCAAATTGTTCGAACTGGCAAACATGCGGTGACAGGTGTCACAAGTTGGTCGTTTCCGGTTGCTGTGAGTACTCCGCATGTGATAGGATAATGCGATTCTGTGTTTGGCAATTATACCGCAAACCTATATTTATAGGGAGGAAGGTAGATAAAAAATTGAATTATGTAAATCTAGCGTATAAGCCCGTCTCCGCCTGTCGAGCAAGAATTATAAGCTGGAAATGTCTGTCGGCAGCGGAATTGAAAGTAAAAGAAAATCAAGCTTCTAGGGGAGACAATCACTCCTAGATAACTACCATCAGGTAGCCACTCCCAGAGAAGCACTATCATAAAACCACTAAGATAACTGTTCTAAGACATTTAATGTTTTAAATTTAATTTATACCAAATTTTCGCGCCATTCGGAACTTCACTGTCTCCACTTTCACTTCCGTTTCGGAAAATTACTTTCACTTCCGTTGCAGACAAACATTTCCAGTTTATAATATAAGAAGAAGATTAGTTACAAATTTGAACCCTCACCTCGCATTTGACATTGGCATCGGGATCGTGCGTTACCATGTGCTGAGTCAACCCTTTCTTGGTTTTAAACGATTTTGAGCACTTAGGAGGAATACCTCACTAGTTGCCACCCACAGATCTCGATGCCATTTGGATATGTTGGAACATCCCATGAGTGAACAACAACCCCCAAGTGCTTTGATGCCATGGCCACATTTGCGCCCGCCACACCCACTTAAAGGCGCCAAAAACACGAAAATCACCATCTTCAAACGCTCGCCAAAAATCCAAATTTGATCGAAATTTGAAAATTTTGCACCAGTATACTCCCAGATAGTTGCTTTATAATATCCGACACCAAAATATATTTTTTAATTTTTTTGAATATTTTCGAAAATTTCCTGACCAGGGGTACGTCTTCGAAAAAATTAAAATTTCAAAAAAGTTGAGTTTGATATTGGATATGATAATGCAACTGTCTGGGAGTATAATGGTGCAATATTTTCAAAATCCTATAGAAATTGGATTTTTGGCGAGGGTTTTATTGAGTGAAAACAGGGCTTTTTTCGTGTTTTTGGCGCCTTTAAGTGGGTGTGGCGGGCGCAAATGTGGCCATGGCATCAAACCACTTCAGGGTTCTTGTTCACCCATGGGATGCTCCAATATATCCAAAGGGCATCGAGATCTGTGGGTCGCAACTAGTGAGGTTCCCCTACATTGTCGAGGGTACTGCCGACCTTACCGCGGCAGGCACCACGATTACATCCCCACCCGGTACGTCCGCCACTATTCGGCTGTCCAAGGTAAAAGCTTTAGGACAAGAGGCAGTGTTGGATGCTTATTCTACAACTTACGCCACTGGGCTAGATTTCCGTTACAACGTGCAAGGTAATAATTTGGGAAGAGTAATTTTGATAAATAAATAAAATAACTTAAATTTTTGAAAATCATCAGGAAACGTCGCTACCACGACTTGGACATGGGACGTTGTCGGTGATCCCAGCCAGCTCCTCATTCTTAGTTGGCCTCACCATCGCGAACTTTTACAAGGCGGTCAGTTTGTTAACATCGAATACCTGACTTTGAAGGGACCCATGCGAGGCGTTCTCGGAAATGTATTAAGGGTACATCAATTAAATAGTCTTCACATGCATCGAGATCATCAAGGACGAAGGAACTGGCATTTGTGATTTTTCGAACTCCTGGATACAACAAATGTAGTATTGATTAAAAATATATATAAAATATCAGCAAATTAATTTATGATTTACCCTGATTGGAAATCTCAGAAATTGATTTTCCATAATAGACACCATACACCCACCGTCGATCAGGAAATAATTGCCAGCTTACGGTAACTGTACCGTGTTTTTTAGAGTAATCAACTTGAAGTCCTTTGACTTTTAGCAACTTGTTCCCTACAATGAAAAACCAAGCAAGTAAATCAATTTAAAATTATTCATTATTATTTCAGGGGATACCATTAAAAGCATATTATGGCTTACCATTTGTTGCAAATGTCAATGTCTCGGAAGTCCCCTGAACTGAATCGTACACAGGAGTGATGGTTACTTTGTAGTTCGTTTTGGGAGAGAGATCGTGCACTGCAATAATAATAAGTAAAAAAAATACAACAGAATCACGTGAATAATCATAATGATAATAAAACCCCACTCACAAGTGATAAATGTATCATTTGTTTCTGAGAAATTTTGAAACATGTATTTAATTGTTCCCCTCCTTAGCACATTCCCATTTTTTACCTTCCATATGTACTTGCTCTGTTTCTCGATTTATGTGTATTTTCTGAAAAATGAATGTGTTTACACAAGTCTAGGTTTGTATCTGTAAAATAAAATTATGCTACATGCACACAATGTTTCGCCAATTTTTTGCGATTTAAATATGTATACGTCTTAAAATGATTTTAAAGACAAGCGCCACATTTACAGAAATTTGTTACCAATGGTAATATATTTATTTGGGCAGGAAGCATTAAATTGTGTACTGTTAATTATTAATTTACCGTACAGAGTGTTAAGTATATATATATTTTCTTTCCGTGTGTTGTGTTTAAATAATCATTACTTATGCAGGTTTTTCTTATCGTTCATCCAGAAAGTACTGAGCAAGGGAATTGGGAGGTGAAATGGCCGACCTCTCCATAAGCTATAACATGTAAAGTTTCGAAATTAATTGCACGGTCATTTCCTGATGGATTTTCAAACTGGCGCCCGTTTTGTAAACCTTGGACCTTGGGGAGAAATATATATTTTCAGATTTTTTAACTTCTGCCCCACCCCCTCGAAATCCAGGTCACAAGGTCAACAAACAAGTAACACTTCTTTATCGGATTTTAAAATTTTACGACTGGATTCGACGGACCTGGGGTAAATTCTTGGCGGAAATAGTCAGGTCATCATATTCAGCGACTAGTAGGCCGCACCCCCTGCTTTGGAGTCATTGTGGGGGTGGTCAGATGTCAAATCAACACACTTAATTTAGTTAAAAAATTTCCCCCCACCGTAGTTTCCGAAATTCAACGTCGCCAATACACGTAATCTTGCCAAGGCCCCCTATGTGAACGACATTCCATTGTCGTAGACCCCATGGCGACAGGGGGTGTGGTTATCGGCGCTTCTGCCAATACCTTACCAATGCACGCCATGCGACATATCATTTTTCTCAGGCGGGTAAGGAGATTTCAGTGGCGTATTTCAAATTTTAATATGCCACACCCCATCTGGGTGTGGCTATTGGTATCCAATGTATAAATTTAAACCTGGTCATGTGACATATCAATTTTCTCAGCTCGCCAATGGGATTTCAGTGACGTAGTTAAAATTTAGTAAACCACACCCTCTGTGGGTGTGGCCGTTGGTATGCAGTGAATCAACTTAAACCTGGTCGTGCGACATATCGAACTTCTTAGGACGTTAAGCAGATTTCATTGACTAGAGAATGTACAAGAGAATGTATAAAGTGTTTAGATTTTAGTTCGTGGAAACGGCTGCATTTTTTAACCGTAATAACGGAAAATACAAAATTGAAACATTCCTGGATAAAAATAGCCAACCCTTCACCCTTAGGGACCATACAAACATAATCTGTATACGTTTCTGCATACTTTTGAATCTGCTACGTAATCTGCAAATCTGCATACGTTTTGAATTTTTTTGGGATCCAGTGTGGCCCACAGCATGATTAAATCACGAGGTGCAAATCCTGCAAATAGTTACTATACGGTGACACCTAAATAGGGTTGCCGCGGGTAACGAAATTGCCACCCGTTACCCGATCCGTTACCCCCAGTTCAACGACCAGTATCCGTTACCCGTTGTGAGAATTAAATTAAAAACGGCCTAAATCTAATGCACCACTTAATTAGCTGAAAGCTCCCACTTTTTTTGGTGGTACCTCCCACTAGCTGAAATCTTCACTAAGTCGGTTTTTTTAGCCACCCAATTAGCTAGTGGTAGCCACTCATTTATCTGATTTCTCACTTAAATATATTACGCAAAAGTTCTCATAAAAAAGCTCAAAAATTTTATTTCTGATTTACATTTTAAAACTTTACATAATAATAAGTTCCTTGCCAGTGAGCAACCCTTCCCCTCTTGTGCTTTTGGCCGAAAGGTACGGTTTTGGCCTCTGCGCGAACTTTGGACCCAGTTCGAAGCATCTGTCTGTCTTTTAAGCGTAACTCTTTGGGATAGGGTAAATATTTTACAATTTATGTTTACTGGGAAATTATGCAAAGAATTATTTAATACTAATGAGTATGTATTTGGCATTCTTGACATCTGAAAGACAACTGAATGCACTTAGTACTTGAAAGAATAATGAGAATTCAATGAATATGCACTGAAATTTTTCAAAAAGTGGTACATTACATATATGCAAACCAAACCCAATGATTCTCAAGTCAATCAAAAAACACAAACACACGTCGTACGAATAACGAATTTAAGAAAAAAGGTTAACGATTAAGTAAATATATGTGATCAATTTTATTTAATGTCGGTGATAGTATGCCAACAGAGTTGATTGTAACTCTATTGACACTTTATTGGCATAAGGAATTAAAAGAAAAACTTCTCGTCGCGTGCTTCCGACCATTACCCTCCCCCGAACCAACCAACCAACCAAATACTTAATTATTTGTTCCTTTGCGTTGATATGTAATTACTTTCAGATAATTCAATGAAAATAACGCATGCCATGATAATGTATGTAGCTAGATGTCAATAGTTGTTTCTGAAACCAAACTAGTTGCCTTAGTTTGCTTCAATTTTTAGTCGTATGAATTTTCCAATATATTTGACGTGAAAAAATTTCAAAATGTGTTTAAAATTACTTCATTGAATTATATACTGCAGGATACACGATTATTTATGTATATGCATGAAATTTCTTAAGCAGATTGATGATTATCTGTATGTACATAATATGTGGGTCATATCGTCATAATGCAAACATGTAAATTGTACAAAAATAAGTTGTGAGACACATGTAAAATGCAATACTCACGCAACGATTTATGTATATATGTACACTGCGTATTTATTATCAGCATAACGTGGTTACTTCGCATAAAAATTGCAGTTTGCGAAAAATTCTATGTATCTAAACAATTGAGTACATGTCAACTTGATATGAAGTAATTGTCACTCGTCTACGACGAAACCCATTGCTCGAATATAATAAATACGAATAATTAACTAACCAATTGTGCCCACTTACTGCATAGTATACATTTCTAACTAAAATCCCACTGCTTTATAACAAAAAATTTGACAAATGCCGCAAAATTTATAAGGCTCGAAAATTCCCATTACATACACAAGTTCTGTAACGTTTCTAAAGTATGAACTCTAAAATGTACCACCAATTCTTGGAAAATGATGAATTTTTTTCTACAGAAGTAGCATCCTTGCCTCGCTGCGTTATGCCGTCTTTTATGACTGGCCAAATTCCCTTTAGAGTAACTCTTATACTCGCATTTGTCGCAAGAATGGGTCGGTTCTTTATTCGTGACATGCTTCGCCTGCACGTGACCCTGCAAATGTGATGAGCTAGAGAACCTCACGTCACAAAGTGAGCACGGATAATTCCTCCTATTTTCATGGACAACTCGGATGTGGCGTTGTAGATTAGCCCTACTCAAGAAGGTATGAGGGCAGACGTCACACTTTAACATGGGCCGGGATGATTTTTCTAAATGGGTCATCTATAAAATTAAATAACACATGTGACGTTAATTTCTGATTAGTTTTTAATATAACGTTCTTACCTCGTGACCTTTAATGTCTCCCTTGTGGGAGAAACTCCTCCCACAAGTGGCACAATTGTACGGCTTCTCCGTCGTGTGGGTGGGAATGTGACTCTCAAGAAGGGTCCTCGTTTTGAACTCCCTTCCGCAAAGAGTGCACCAAAATCGGACCGGATGTTTGGCGTGTTCTTTATGCACGTGTTGCGCAATGTGATGCTTGTTTAGGTAGGTTTTCTCACACCCGGGGAACGTGCATGGAAAACGGGCCCTTTCCTTCGTGCTGTGTACAGCGCCAATATGTCGCTGTAATTTGCTCGGAGCGGTGACAAGTTTCGCAAATTGGTTGTTCCCGGTAGGTGTGGACATTCCACATGTGGGAACGTAAGGTGGGTGGATTTTTGTAAATCTTGCCACAAACCTAGAAAATACGAAAGTGGGAAAATGTGGACTGATTAATTTAGCCTCACCTTTTGAAATTTACACCCTCACCTCGCATTTGACCTTGACGTCGGGATCGTGAGTGCCGAGGTGTTCATTCAATGAGGTATCAGTTTTAAACGTTTTCGAACATTTGACACATTCCCATTTCTTTCCTAGGAGCAGATCCATGTGGAGTAGAAATTTTTTTGGTAGCGTTCCCTTAAAACTGAGTCGTTCGAAGAAATTTAATTTTAGAGCTGGAAGAAAAAAATCGCTTATATTTATTCAAGCGATGTGTGCTTTTACAAATATTTCAAATATTTTAAAAGGATTGACCTAAATACATGAAACACCACAATTTTTTTAGCAATTTCTAGAAATAATAATTTATTATATACATATGACAACAAGAAATAAATTTAATATTTAACTCGTGATAAATATGAGGATTTCTTAATCATTACGTATGAAATGTGGCTTCCGAGTAACTGAGTATGTAAAGTAGGCATGTGTATGTTGGTTCGTGTGGTGTCAAAAAAAGGTTACATTTTTCATCCGTACGTAACAATGAGTAAAAAAAACTGTCGAATTCCTGGATAAAAATAACTAGCCCTTCTCCCTCGGGGACCATACATATGAACATAAATTATACGCTTACAATTACTTTTACAGTTTTTGTGAGAAGTGTGACCCACAGAATAAGGTTAATGTTGATTCGTGTGGTGTGAAATATGTTGCCTTTTGTAACCATAGCAATGAGTTAGAACTTGACAAATTCCTTGCCAAAAACAACCCACCGTTTACCCTTGATTACCATACAAACATAATTTATACGCTTACAATTAGTTTTGCATTTTTGGGAGAAGTTTAACTTACAGAATGATTCAATCACGAGGTAAAAATGGTGATTTATTTAATACCGGGTGAAACCCTATGAAGCACACTAAAAAAATTTGAACCAATTCTATTCAAAGTTGAGCTGTGGTATTTGGTAAACCATGAGTAAAATTGCCACTACGCCATATCTTAAATGAATTTTTCTCAACCTATTGTTGCACCTGTTAAATATAAGAGTTCCACGTGATCCGCGATTACGTTAACCGAATGAGCCGAATTATTTCATTATTAAACACCAACTATTTTAATTTGAACTTTTAAATTATTCAATTTCGTATGATTTCTGCGCTAAACTAAAAATACTTAACTGGTGTTAAATAATAAAATATTTAGTTCAGCTCGTTCTGCTAACGTTATCGCGGACGAGTTGGAACTCTTATAACAAGGGACACAGTAGTTGAGCAAATTATTTTATTCAATCGCTCAACAAAATCTACTCAATGAATTGCATAAAAATTGCCCAAGCTGCAGCATAATGAAAATCATTAATTACAGAAAGTTAACCGATTCTACGGCGAAATCAATTTATACAATATAGCACAATAGTTATATGTATATAGCTGCATATCTAACGACAATGTTTGTCCAATCATTACATTTAAACTTGTAGCTAAAATGGCGTATCCATCTCCAAAATATTTTGCCAAATTTAGTCAAAATTCGGAAATTATTCACAAATATGTACATAAATTACGCTATTATAAATACTCCAAAGTATGTCGCCCACAATGTTTCACCAAGTGGGAAAACGTGAGGAATTTCTTCTCACAGAAGTAACACCCATGACGCACCCCATTGTGACGCGTTTTGTGCTCGGTCAGATAGTATTTCGAGCGGCTCTTGTACTCGCACTTGTCACAGGAATGGATCAGCTCTTTATTCGCGACATGTTTCGCCTCCACGTGAACCTTCAAGCCTGGCGAATAGGGGAATACCTTGCCACAATATATGGACCGATAATTCCTCCGATTTTCATGCACAACTCGGACGTGGCGTTGAAGAGCAGTTTTACATGAGAAGGTGCGAGGGCAGACGTCACACGTTGTTACAACCCGGGTAGATTTTTCCAAATGGGTCATCTACATATTTGTAAAATTAATTTTTCACTCACAATGGAGCCCTTTTTCAAGCTATACCGGGATTTTCTAGCGAGTTATACCAAAAACTCAAGCCAAAAATTAGAAATCACATGGCGCTCATTATTCCGTTGAATGGCCACTTCGAATAAAAATATTGGCGGAAAAGTTAAATTTTGGAGTTACATTTCTCTCGGTTTTTCCTGCACATGGTGGAAAATTATGCGGGCGGGTGAAATTGCCCCCCAATATTTTTCTTCAGGGGCCATTCAACGGAAATGTTAGTGTCACCTGTATCTTAATTTTTGGCTGCATTTTTTTACATTAATAACTCGCTAGAAATTCTGGGTTTAGCTTGAAAAAACATGTTCCATTTTAAGTTTACTATATTTATTACAACCTCACCTCGCATTTGACCTTGGCATCGGGATCGTGCGTGACCATGTGTCTGGTCAACAGGTAATTGGCTTTAAAAGATTTTGAGCATGTAGAGCATTCCCATCTCTTTCCATGCTTAGGATCCATGTTGATTTGGTAATTGTTTTAGGAATTAGTGTGTGTATGAATGAGCTTGTACACGTGATAAATTCTAAAAAAAATTATATGGTTAAAAAACGTTTAGTTTGTTAGAAACCTGTAAGAAAAAATTTTCTTACGTGTCTGTATAATGTTTCACAATGTTTTTTACTAATAATTCACAAATTGTAAAAGAGTTCGACCAACATGAAAAAGATTTTATTAATGAGGGTTTTCACGTCACCTTCGTAACTGTCGTAAATAGCGTAAATTTACGACATCTACGAAAATTCCATGCTTACGATGCTTCGTAAATATACGCAAGGTTGAGGCATCTTTTTCGTTCGTAAAAAAATTTTGCAAGCATAACAAATCATGATATATATTTTGAACACCATAGTTACCGATGATATTAGGAAAGGAAAAATTAAAAACAATTTTTACGAAATATTTTTTACGAAGGGTCTTTCACGTCAACCCGTCGTAAATGACGTAAATTTACGAATATTTTTTTTACGAATTCACAGTTACGAAAGTCTGGAAAACCCTCAATATTAATAATTATAACGAAGAAATAGAGTTTGTACTACATAATTAGTTATTCCTGCTGTTTTTTTTTCTTACCGTGTGTTGTGTAGGATCGCTTAATCATTGCCTATGTATGTATGCAGGTGATGGTTAGGAGTATACATAGTCGGGTACGAAATTCTTTGATAAACGTTTTTTACTGCAGAAAAATAACGGGTACGAATTTTTAATTACAATTTTCCATATGGATGCATAATATACCTGTGTATAATATAAAAATACTAAATATCCAAATTTCCTCTCCTGGAGTACACACGCTTGAGAAATCTGATGGACGGCCGGTCGCTTGGAGCACGCGCGGTTTCTACCGGAAAATGGTCACAAGCGTTGAGAAACAAAATTTGAGAACTTCTGCACCAGTGGAAGTTTTAGAGCAGGCCATGGTCTCAATTTTAAGCCTCAAGTCATAATCCAGATGATTAAGGTCTGCTATTACCGATGGTATTTTTGTGACCAAATAAAATCGATGAAATGAGCTCATAGTCAATTTTGGACAATTTTTGCACCATATGGCTGATCCGTGACCTTTTAAGAAATTCAGTTTCTATTTTTCAATAGGCCGGACTTCAAAGGTTTTACACTAACAAGGGACACTCACGACCTGTCGTTTGACTCCAGGGTACCCACTATGTTTTTTAGAATCTACTAGGACCCCAGATGAAGGATCCATTCATATTTCCGTGTAAAACTCATATTTGGCGCCATGGCGTGGCGCCAAATTCGCCAAATTTGATGGTTTTTCATTTTAAAACCGCCGTAACTTTTGAAATCCTGGACGGATTTTCAAAATTTTTGGCAAAAATCATGACAAGGAGTTCGAGTTTCGTATTCTATGAAATTTTTTCCAAAATTATCGCTTTTAACTTTTCGCAAAATTTCGAAATTTCGGGTTCGTCGAAAAAATGCTAAAAATATCTCAAAAATTAAAATTTTTTTATTTTTATTTTTTTCTCTAAAATTTCGACTTTTCTGATCATTTTAAGCATAAAATTTTAAAAATCCGACATAAACCGCAAAAGTAATGGTGGTTTGAAATTGGTCGAAAATGCAAATTTTTAAGTTTGGCGCCACGCCATGGCGCCAGATATGAGTTTTACACGGAAATATGAATGGATCCTTTATCTGGGGTCCTAGTAGATTCTAAAAAATATAGTGGGTACCCTGGACTCAAACGACAGGTCGTGAGTGTCCCTTGTAAGTTTTGCAACTTTGGTAATGTAATTCTTGGCTTCCGGTGTAACCTTTCTAGAGAAAAACAGGGTTTCGCTTTCTCCAGCAGATTAATTTAAATCCAAACCATCAAAGACTTAGGGGGATGAGATCTTCGACGTTTTCTATTTGCCAGGGGTATGTATGATTTTTGCTTAGTGCAAATTCTTCAATTTTCCTTGTTAAATTTACGCAGGGCATAGGATAAGTTTCCACAGGAAACCGTGCGTAATCCAGGCGATCAGTTTACCATCAGATTTTGTAAGTTTGTGCGCTCCAGAAGGGGAAATTTGGATATTTACTATTTTTATATTATACACAGGTATATTATGCATCCATATGGAAAATTTTAATTAAAAATTCTTACCCGTTATTTTTCTGAAGTAAAAAACGTTTATCAAAGAATTTCGTACCCGACTAGGTATATACCTACTACTGCCATATATTATGTCTCAAGCATTCCGCGCGTCAAAAACATCAGTAGCAGTTACGTTAGCCAGTTGTACTATTTTTTATTGAATTCCCCATGCATTTGTATATCAGAAACCATGTTCCTAAATTTTTTGCGATGCAAGGTGCTAAAATGACAGCTCGGGCAAATCGACGTGTTGCAATTTTTCAGTACAATTTTAGTAAACATAAAAATCCGACATTTTTCAATAGCTCATTAAAAATCGGAACTAAACGCAAGGGGGTCGACCGTACCATAAAATGATCCACTAACATTGGCGGTGTTGATAACCGAAAACCGAATTGAAGGGAACGGTCAAAAAGGTCACAAAATATCACGTAAGTGCGCAAAACTTGACTTCGGCCGAATTCATGCCGGACCCTAAGAAAAATTTCCCTACAAATGAACGGGCCAAGTAAAACTACGTCCCATGCCCCTAAACTCGACTTTGGACTTATGTGTTTAAGATGTGAAGGGGAACATTTGATAACTTCACGCCAAGTAAAAGTAGGTCCCTCAAAAGCCTAGAGCTGATCATGCGGTACGCGCTTGAAAAATGAAAATAAGTATTTTTGAAAGATGATCAAACTTTTACAATTCAGATCAGATAAAATAAGCAAAAGCACTTTATCCACACCCTACCAGTCCATACTATTCACAAAAATTTCAAAAATATTAATCCCTCGCAACATCCAGTTTCAGTGATTTTTTTATTCAAGGTTAATTGTATTTGGTGAAAAAAGTGATTTTTCTTCCTCTGGGGGTGGAATTTCTTGTCAAAAAATATTTTTTGAAGTTATCAAACGAATGGGAGCACCACTGGACCACACTTTATTGAAAAATAGCCACTAGACATTCAAGGAGAGTTCAAGTCCTGCTCATAAGCCCAAAACAGTTAATAGGGGATAGAATTCCAAAATTTCTGACTCCATTTCGGATCAGGAATAAAATTCACTGTCGCCTAAC